ACGGGTCAACCCAGTCCGGCCCCCAGACGTCCTCGTCGCCCGCTCGCTCCCATCCTCCGTCGTCAAACTCGTCCTCGACTCGGTATGGGGCCTGTCCTATATCTTGATAGTATTGGGCCAACTGGTGGCCGTATATCAGAGGTCGCTCGGTGTTCTCACCCCACCAGCTCTCCCAGTCGTCTAAGAAGAGCYGCCCGATGTAGGTCACGTACTCGGGTCCTGCTCGGAGCTCACGGTCTAGCCAATCCCAAACGCACGGAGACTGGGGCCACTCGTCGTATATCGAGCGGATCAGCTCTATAAGCTGAACCCTCTCGTCTCCCCAACGAAGTCCTCCGGTCGCGAGTGAATAAAAGATGTAGCTTAAATCTGTAGCGCTCCTCGCCAGGATCTTGAGATCCTGATAGGCCAGGTATSTCTCCACTACTCCACCAATTCCTCCAAAGACGCTCTCTACCACGAACGCCGGAACTACCGCTCGCAGGCTCCTAACACTGTACGGGAAAAACCCGTCCCGTGCTACCACCAGCTCGCCCGAGATATCAAGAGGAGGGCGCCCGTGAAATAAGGTCAATGGGTCGCTCGAGTCCTCTGCTCGGAAGGCAGCTACCTCGTCCTYTAGGTAGCGTAACACGCTGCTAACCGTGYCACTAGTCCCTRTCGTCACGAGGCCCACTACAGCCTCCCTAATCGCATCCGGTCCTAAATACAAGTAGGCTCTCACTACGCCTACTCCTTGCGCCGGCCGGTGCTCCCTGTACGTCCAAAGCCACKCGTCCTCCGACAAGATTATGGACCTCCACGCAAACTGACCGTCAAAGTGTCGACTTCCGCGTCCAGGGATCGTGAGCTCGACTAGATCTCCTTCTATGAGTTCAGGGGGCTCCAAGTCCCAATCAATCGTGGCCCCATAGACCTCTTCTTGCACCTGCGGCCTCATCCAACTGACAGCCTGTCACTTACTCCACTCCTTCGGGGACAAGTTACGTTGTCTTCTCTACGGCAACGCCCCTTTCGCTCCTTCTTTAGGCAATTCTTTGTATTTTTTAATTAAAAATAAAAAAAAAATGTATCTAGTTAAGATAAAATCCCGCTCTTATTCTTCATACATCGTGGATAAACACATTTATAAGCCCACCGAGTTTAATGTTTTTTAAGGGCAGAAATAAAATTTTGTGATTTTGCAGAAAAAATTTCGGCAGCGCTTCGCCTCCCCCCGTTGGGATCGGGTTCGGGACTATTGTCCCTAGGTAAACACTTCCTTCCTAGAACTAAAATCAAAAAGAGGAAGCCCGCTGAAAAATTAAATTTCTCGTGTATTTTTAATTAATTTTTCTAATCACTTTTAATATATATATATATATAAAAAGAAAATAATAATTTTGTTTAGGAATTCTCGTGAAATCCCGGCAATGCTTTGGCTCCCCGCCTGTTGGGGTATGATTTGGCCGAAGACCTCAAAAAGTAGCCGCCGCAGGAGTTCAGCAAAAGGGATAAAATAACAAATGGGAAATATAATTATTAGAGTATTTTCTTTAATTATTTAAGATTTAATTGGATAAAATTTAACAATTTTCCGAAAAATTTCGGCAGCACTTCGTCTCCCCCCGTTGCGATGGGGTACGGCTGAAAGCCTTAAAAATGTTTGCCGCAAGGTATAACAAAAAGGAAAGAATACCACAAAGGAATTTTAGAATTTCAAGTATTTTCTTTTAATTAAATTAAAATAAATAAAACTTAGTAAATAGCCGAGAAATTTTTGCAGCACTTCGCCTCCCCCCGTGGGGATGGGGTGCGGCCGAAAG